GCAATGAAAAGAAATGTTGGGTAGAAAAAAACTGGATCAGAACACAATGCTGCCTGGATTCGAACCCTCATCCACATGAGCTCCATACTTTAATGTCTTTGGCCTTCATGTTCACCATTGGCCACAACTTCAATAAGCTTTATTTGCAGTGATTTAAAATGTAGACATCTGATTTTTACTTATTTACTTATTTGTATGTTTTGTAAATTATAGTGTGTATGTGTGTATATAAACAAATAGAAGCCACTTATTACCAACAATGATGCCAACAATTCAGATAAGCGAAGTTAAAAAAACATGTTCCTCTTTCACGGTCTTAGTTCAGTTACATGTAAGGGAGTATATGCTGATGGCAGCAGTCAAACCAAAGACACTTTTAGATGCAGTCAGCTTCCAGTGTAAATTCATTACTCATGCTCTAAAGAACTCCTGCGTGTTAGCGATCATTAGTGAGAGGACTCTGGCTTCTTGTGCTGCTCGGTTCATGTTCTGTATTTTCTTCACCTCATTGATTTTTCCTCGAACGGCCTGTTCGGTTAGTCTGCTTCTCTCCTTTCCCAAGAATTCCCTGGGATGCTGAAATCTCTACAGTGTGCTGTTGCGTGTTTGTGTGGGAGCGAATGTGTGCTCATTCCGCTCCAGTTTGTGTGTATGTGTGAGAAGCTGCTGCCAGGGAGATGATATTTGTCTTCAGTGATGTACTCTGTGGCTCTGCATAGCTGCACTCCTCATGGACTGAAATGATTGGGGAAAAGTCCAACTCTATTGTCAGGAGCCAAGGAGCTCTTTGATTCGGCTCCAGAAGCTCTGATCCTGCAGGTTTAATGAAAGGAGCTTAGAAAATAACTTCATTTCAGCAACTGAACACCAAAGAAACACCTTTAGGGGTTCTTTCATTACATTTAAATGGAGAGGTTCAAATGGGATATTTTAGATTCCAGACAGACGGATCCAAATGCTGGAGACCACATATGAATGTAAAGGGGAAAAAAATATGTATATATATATTTTATAACATTTTTCATATTTTAAATCATATTTAAATGTTTACTCTTTTACATTTATTTTTTACAGAATTGTTTTTAGTACAAATATTTTTTTACCATCATCTATTGTATTTTAACTAGATTCTTTATATTACAGTTTTTCTTGTTCGTTTTTCTGAAAGTCTAACTTTTACTTGATTTGTTATGCTGGTACACTCTAAAAAATGCTGGGTTGTTTCACCCCAACTTTGGGTCAAATATGGACTAACTCAACTTTTGGGTTAAAAATAAAAAAACTTTTAATGTAAAAGTTTAACCCAATGGTTGGGTTAGTCCATATGTGACCCAAAGTTGAGTTGAAACAACCCAGCATTTTTTAGAGTGTAATGAATTTAGTAATGAAATATTTTATATTAATATTAGTAATATGCAACTAGTTAATAGTGGTCTCAGACTTATAGACTCCACTGTATAGGTCAAGGTCTGGGTGCAAAAACTATTTTTCTGTCATGGGACTGTCACTCTTTAAATTGCATGTTATTGATCCTGCTGCTATATTTTCTGGATAAATGCATAGATATAATCATGAGCAGAAAGAAATCATCTGTTCTCTTCATTGCTCCAAGGTCACAATTTCTTTTGAACTACTTAATGGTGCTTCTACAGCTCACAAAGTCAATGTAATGAGGTCATATGTTGAGCATCCTTGATTAAAAACCACCACGCGTTTGCTTGACAGTGAACATCCTGTACAGCTGTCATTCCAGGAACTAGGCGTGATACTTTTATCAATGAGTCTATTTACATGCACGGTAATATCTCAGATTAGCTCAAGAAAGTTGTTTACCGTAAATTGGAATCATTTGGTTTTTGTTTTATATCAAAATGTACAATGGTATGTGCTTAATGCCTATTTTGACCCATAACCAATAATGAAATATTTGCATTGAAAAAAAACCCCACATTGTTGGGCTTTTCAGGCATAAACCATGTAAGGTTGTGCATTTAATCGTACTCAATATTCCCAACCTGATTCTTTCACACTTCACTGAGTGTAAGCATTTGAGCTGATACTGTTATCATAATTGTATGAGCCAGGTCTCACAGGAAGGTTTTTTTTCTCTCTTTTTTTCTTTTCTTTTTCAACCCAGGTTTAATATCTTCCTTCCTCTCCTTTTTCCTGCATCTTTGTTCAATGTGAATATATTCAACTTCGGAGGCTAGATATAACTGTTTGGGCACTGGATTGTCATGTGACTTTCTGAGGCGTTAGTTGCTCACACACACCAACCGTTTTCTTCCACCTCATTTATTTCCTGATGTGTGGTTTGGACGCGCTTTCCCTGTGGGGTTCAGAAAGGTTCCCATCAGCGATAGGGACTTCAAAAAATCTTTCATGTTATGAGCGAGGAAAAGGGTAAAGGCTGCCTGGAGCTCTGTGGATTTAGCCTCTGTGAAATATCAATGTTTTGCATTTTTTTGCAGCTGAAGTCATGATCTGTACAACTAAAGCCAGATGAGATTTGTAAGAGTATGTACTGAAGCATGATGCAAATATAGTTTTTAAAGTATACATGAGCATACTGTAAAATCTAAAACTGGTTTGCTTTTACTATGGGTGTTATTTTCTTCTCTCTAGTGCTACTAAGATGACATGAAGCCGGCACAGACACAACTCTCGAGTGATGACTGTGTCTCTCTGGGGTTTAAGCGAGGACTGTTATATAAAAATACTCTTCCCCTATATAAAAGTTATCTTTTCTGAGTGCCGAACATCCATCTGCTGGCTGCGCTGAGCATCCGCTGAAAATCCCATCAATCACTGGCGCTGAGGTCTTCTTTAAAGCTTTCTTTAACGGTCCCAGTACTTGTGCCATGTTTCATTTGCCCATTTTCCACCAATAGGGTGCCAAAGCTGGTGCCCAATCAGGAACTGGACTGTGTTTCCTAAAAACATTGGAACCAATGGTCTCTCTCATCTTAACCTCACAATCCACGGGGTGGGATAATGCTCGCAATTAAGTTTTCAGAACATGGTGACGCAAAGCAAATTAGCTGATAACTGTCCCACTCCTTCACTGCACAACTTTAGCCACTCTTATTTTCCCTGTTTAGAAATTTTGTGTGTGATTATGCTAAGGTTTCGGTCACCCTGTGCCCTTTTTGTGTCATTTTTGTTTTGATTTCTGATGTTTTGTTTTGTTTTTGTCTTTTTGTTTAGCCTTGCTTTGTTGTTTGCTTTGAATTGTTTCGTGTTTGTTTGGTATGGTTTTGTTTCATGTTTGTTGTTGTTTTTTTTGTTTTGCATTGTTTTTGTTTTGTTAGGTTTTGTTTCTTTGATTTGTGTTGTATGTCTTTTTTATTATTATATTTTATGTTGTTTGTTTTGTTTTGGCAAAGTTTTCGCTTTGGCAAACCAGCACCACTTTTTGCACAGGAGGTTCATGTGTAAATGCTTGTTTGTTTTCTCTAGAGATGACTTGCAGTGAGAGTGCTGAGGTGGAACTTTTTGTATAATCTGCACATCAATGACACAATAATTATGTTGCGTCACTAAGAGGCTGCTGGAGTATCAGTCCAGAATAAATCCCACCTGAAGGGCTTTTGTATTTAGTCACTTTCAGTCACACTGTGCGTATATAAACATTAAGATCAGTCGCCCACATTCACGCTCCTAATACACTCATCTCTGCTGGTCATATCATTATTCTCATCATAAGTATCCTTCTCTTTACGTTAGAGCTGATGCATAATGGCTAAAGCAATGAAAAGCAGCACTGTGAATTCACAATGAACTGATGCAGAAGTTTTTTGAAGTTTCAATTTAGTTTAGTGCACGTTACATAATGGGTACAGCTTCTGTCAGGATAGATGATGCACATCTTCATGGTAAATTTTGATGACTCTGATAGGTGTCCTTTTTGATTAAACTCACTTTGGTATGTCAGGATGAACACTTCCCCTGATGAGGAGCGGCAGCTGCTTTGTTGCAGGAAGAGCTTGTTATCAGTCTGATTATTGTAAGACAGGAGTGTCAAATTCATAGTTTCAGGATCAAGTCACCTTATGTGGGCCTAATTTAATCTAAATTCAATTAAATTTTTATTTAATTTCATTTGTTAAACTTCAGTGTATTTTTTTTATATACTTCTATACTTTATATAATTATATATCATATAAAAGTTTTATAAATAATTTTCAATATTTTTTTTGTCTGAATGTTAATCAAACAACAAATCTGACAGAGAAACTACCGTCTTCTCTTGACTGGATAGCATTAATACTGAACACAGTTAGGCTGGTTGGTTACACTTTACTTGAAGGGGTGTGCATAAGACTGACATGACACCTTCATAATCATGACATGACACCTACATAATCATGACATGACACATGTCATGAATATGAAGGGTTTTTATGAATATTTATGACAACTGTCTGTCATGTCATGATTATGAAGGTGTCATGTCAGTCTTATGCACACCCCTTCAAGTAAAGTGTTACCGGCTGGTTTTGTGTCGTGTATCTGACATTCATTGGGGTTGCAAACAATTGTGAAATTTACTTGATGTTCTATTATTGGTACCTAGTTCAATGTGGTCCTTATTGACTTGAGCCACGTGAGCTTCAAAGTAGGACCCACTTCTGTATTAATCAGTTTTAATGCTTTTGATGAAAATGTCCTTTAAATTTAGTCAGTATTTCATCATTTTAGTCAATTTTTGGAGGTGAGCCACGTGAGCTTCAAAGGACCCACTTCTGTATTAATCAGTTTTAATGCTTTTGATGAAAATGTCCTTTAAATTTAGTCAGTATTTCATCATTTTAGTCAATTTTTGGAGTCAGTTTTTATAAGAACATAAGATCCTGGTTGAAGATAATGCGCAACATAATGAAATCGTGTACCAAACTGTATCAGACTAACCTCGGCTCCTGTCATGGTGGCATATAATGAGTATACTGGAGTATTAGGTACTTTTAAAAATAACTGTGCTGTGAATCCTGTGTTTGTAGATGATTCCAGCGCAGAGGGCTCAGACGAATCCACTGTGGGCCGCAGCTATGTGAAGAAGAAGCTGGAACATGGCTTAACGCGGATCTGGCAGGTAGGGAGTGCACTCATTTACTTTGTTCTTCGTTCCTCCATTAGCTTCATGACTCGCCCTCCCACCTCTCGTCCTCCTCTCTCTGCCCCCAGGAGGTCCAATTGAAAGTGAAAGCTTATTTGCTGGGAACAGACGTGTCCAACTTCAAGTACGACGACTTCATTGTGGTTCTGGATGTTATCAGCAGGTAGGGACCCACTTCCTCATTAGTGCTAATTGGATTGGCCTGCAGGGACCAACTTCACCGTTTCCCTCACCATCCCTTCTACCTCATGAGAAACTTCCCTAAAGAGAGAATGGGGCCAGGGGGCATCAAAGAAACTGCTTGTTCCTCAACAAGAGGGGTGGTGCGGTCATCCCCATTAACAGGGCTCAATTAAAAGGCCATTTAGTGTGTGAAACTGCAGCCCTCTGTATTGATCCTGCCTTGGGGTCACCGACTTGTGTGAATAGAGGCACCATTTTCTGCCCTCGCTGGTACATGTGATGTGAAGTAACTCTTTGGGGTTAATTAGAAGAGTGAACTGCTTTCTACTTAATTTTTTTTTCTTGTCTGTTTTTTGTTTTTCTTGTTGACAGGTTGATGCAAGTGGGAGAGGAATTCTGCGGCAGCAAGTCTGAGTTGTTGCAGGAGTCCATTAAGAGACAGAGTGTAAACTACTTTAAGAACTATCACAGGTAAGATAAATAGCCCATTGCCAAACTAAACTTGCAGGAGGGATTCACTAAAAATGAATAGAGTGCTGCTGCAATGATTTTGTAGGGTTATTGCAGGCAGTAAGCTCTGTGACCAACACAAGTTTAGAATTCTTACACGTTTTGTTCATCAACAATATATTCACAAAATGAACACAACTTTTTAAAATATTTTTGAAGCCTAAATACAATTGCCAGAAGGAAACAGCTAAAGGTTGGCTATAAACAATCTACGTCACAGTCGCATGACTTAAATGTCACCACCATCAAGCTTCTCTCTTTCAATCTTTGTTTAAAATCTACAATTTAGAAATTTTCAGTTTCGAAGAGTGTGAGAAAAGCCACCCAAAGTATACTTTGTTTTTGTGTGTGTACGCTACCGTATGTGTACAGTCGAACGCGTAGCCTTTCAAAGAATACTCTATGTATGTATCTCTTATGTTGTGCGCGAACGCGGGTGGTTGACACATGCACTATTGAAAGCTTCATCCGTAGTGTCTGCTCTATTTTTCCCCATAAGTTATGACCGATAGCAAATATTTTTGAACTCTTTTAAACCAAAGCTGAGCTATCTCATACCCTCTCGCTCACAAGTGCTTGTCAATGCAGCCGTCTGTTGTTGTTGCAGTCTCCTCTATTTTTTTTTTTGTTGTTGTTCCGTCTCTTTAGTTTCATTTTCTACTGTGAAACAATGGCCCAGGACAGTGTTGCCACCTTGTGGAACATCTGATTACTGCAAAAAAAATTATTAAATGCACATGTGCGACCTGTGCGTACAGTACGTGCATACTATTCTGATGACGAAATTCGCGTCATGCACTCTGTACGCTGTCCCTCACGTATGTTTAAATGGGTCATATGATGTGATTTCAAGTTTTCCTTTCTCTTCGGAGTGTTACAAGCTGTTTGTGAGTAGATAAGATCCCTAAAGTTGCAAAGACTAAAGTCTCAAATCCAAAGAGATATTCTTTATAAAAGTTAAGACTCGTCCACGCCCTCCTAAAATGCCTCGTTCAAACACACCCCCTCATGTCTACGTCACGATGTTGGAAGATTTACAAAACCACGCCCAAATGTTGTGAAGACGCTTGCTCCGGCCTGACAGGGCATCACAGTGTGGTAATGCCGAGTTCACACTGCACGATTTTCAAACTCGTCGGATCGCCAGTGACTATCTGGGGTAGCATTCAGTTGCTGCTGTGTTCACATTGCACAATGGATCGGTGACAGGGGGTTTCACATTGCATAACTTCACAATAGGAAGAATCGCCGACGGCTCTGTCTGGTGCAGGGTTGCCAGGTTTTCGCTACAAAACCCACCCAATTACTACTCAAAACTAGCCTGAAAATAGCCCAATTGCTTTCGAGGGGGTCCCCCAGTAAAAAACCCGCCTTTGGGGGGTAAAATAATTTTTTTTGGCGGGGTTCTCCTGGTACAATTCACATTCCAGGGCCTAAATATCACGTTATTGGGGTCGCTTCAACCTGCTGACATAAAAAACAACCGGCGGCAATCGCGGATTTGGCAACACTGGTCCACGAACTACGTTTCATATAACTCTTCCCCAAACTTCCCGCTGCCCTGTATCTTGGTCTCTCATTGGCTGTAGGTCATCGCCGATGTGTTTTTCAGTCAGAAATAATTTCACACAGCGTGATTCCCTCAGATCGCGTCTTTGATAATTCACACTGCGTCAAACGAGCACCGATTTGCCTCTGATTTCGGGCATTTGTCGGCGATTTCGCAAAACCTGTTGGCGAGTGAAAAATCGGGCTAAAATCGTGCAATGTGAACTCAGCATAAGGGGCGTAACATTTCCGTCCCACGCTTAAGGTATTTGGCCAATCACAACGCACTGGATAGCTGGCCAATCAGAGCACACCTCGCTTTTCAGACCAATCGACGCGTTTCAGAAAGGCGAAAAAATACAATAATGTACAGTATGTGGAAAATTGTGTTTTTTGAACCTTAAACCGCATAAACACAATTTTGTGTTCTCAATACACCAAATACACAAAATAATGTTCTTTTTAGCAACATCATATGACCCCTTTAAAAAGTGAAGTATACTTTGGGCTTTAATGTCCCCGCAAAGCTCAGTAGTGCCATTTAACCCCTTGTATTAAAATAATGAGTGCTTTTATGTTGTAGAATAAAATGTGAAAATATTTTGAGCTTGTGTTAATCAGAGACATTTAACCAAGAACCCATTTAAAAAAAAAAAATATTGACTTCAGGATGATGGAAGTGGAAGTCCAAAAATGCAAGTTTCCAGGTTTAAGTACTCATTCCTGCAGCACTATATTGTGGCCACTAATAGTGTTGTTTATTTGTTCATGCTATTTTAGTGCTGATATCTGGAGAGAGAAAAAATCTGGATGTTTTCAATGCCGCACGGTTCCTGTAGCTCAAAATGTAGAATTGCACTAGCAACACCAAGGCCATGGGATCAATTCCCAGGAAATGCAAGAAATGATAAAAAAGTGATGTAGATATAAATATAGTAACTACATTACATTACAGCCTCTATGATAGATGTAAACCATCACATTAGGACAAACAGAATATGGTTATATGTGGATGTCAACCATATCTCAGTATTGTGTATTGAATATATCTAGAATGCTGGGTTGTAAAAAAAAAACAATTATGTTTAAGTACCCGTCACATACTCAAATCTGAAAATGTGTTCAGATCTCTGCATTGAGACGACGTGTTTCAGAAAGGCGAAACAATACAATAATGTACAGTATGTGGAAAATAGTGTTTTTTGAACCTTAAACCGCATAAACACAATTTTGTGTTCTCAATACACCAAATACACAAAATAATGTTCTTTTTAGCAACATCATATGACCCCTTTAAAAAGTGAAGTATACTTTGGGCTTTAATGTCCCCGCAAAGCTCAGTAGTGCCATTTAACCCCTTGTATTAAAATAATGAGTGCTTTTATGTTGTAGAATAAAATGTGAAAATATTTTGAGCTTGTGTTAATCAGAGACATTTAACCAAGAACCCATTTAAAAAAAAAAAATATTGACTTCAGGATGATGGAAGTGGAAGTCCAAAAATGCAAGTTTCCAGGTTTAAGTACTCATTCCTGCAGCACTATATTGTGGCCACTAATAGTGTTGTTTATTTGTTCATGCTATTTTAGTGCTGATATCTGGGGAGAGAAAAAATCTGGATGTTTTCAATGCCGCACGGTTCCTGTAGCTCAAAATGTAGAATTGCACTAGCAACACCAAGGCCATGGGATCAATTCCCAGGAAATGCAAGAAATGATAAAAAAGTGATGTAGATATAAATATAGTAACCACATTACATTACAGCCTCTATGATAGATGTAAACCATCACATTAGGACAAACAGAATATGGTTATATGTGGATGTCAACCATATCTCAGTATTGTGTATTGAATATATCTAGAATGCTGGGTTGTAAAAAAAAAACAATTATGTTTAAGTACCCGTCACATACTCAAATCTGAAAATGTGTTCAGATCTCTGCATTGAGACTCGTATGATGAGAGGATAGCCAACTGGGGTTTGTTCACACTGCTGGCAAATTGAATTTGATTTTCAAATCTGGCCTATAGGACTGATTCTCTATATTGTCATTGTGCAAGTGCTGAAATCTGATTTTGTGGTCTATATTCAGTGCATCTGCATCAGTTGCTATAGTAATGATATATTTCAAACCAATGCCAAGAAACAACAACTGTAAGTAGCTGTCATTGAGAGGTCTGAAAACTGGTCAGTTTTCTTCAGTTTGCTCATGTATTTCACAACATTTTATTGTGCATTACTGTGCATGACAGTATTGTCCAAAACTGCTGACTCATTCACTATATATTGAATCTTGTGTAATTCACTAGGAAAGAATGAACACATGTATATTCGGGTAGAGTTCAAGTATTGTGGACTTAGTTTGTATCATTTTCTTAATTAGAAACGAGCACTTGAAATGCATTACAAAATAATTAGGGTTTGGAAACATCTGAGTTAATGTGCTTTTTGGTGATCACGCTAGAAAACAATTATAGTGATTTGAGTCAGTTACACCAAACAATCAAATGTTGCTGTCTGTCTGAACAAAGCCGAAATATCCTTCCCTGCTGCTGTAGTCAGCATTACAAAGACCTTTTCTGCTTGATGAGATGGAGGACGTTGAAAGAGGACATCTTACCATTATTTCTGAATATTCAAGAAGTTGGATAGCATCCATAAAGTGATTATCTGTCCGTCCTTCGAATGCTTAATCTCTGGTGTCACTGTGTCGCCATTAACACATTGTGCCTTTACAATATATATTGTGCCCTCTGGCTTAGAGAACAAAACTGATTCGTTTTTTCATCTAGTGCTGTAAATTTGAACCTAGGAAAGAATGAACACATGTATATTCGGGTAGAGTTCAAGTATTGTGGACTTAGTTTGTATCATTTTCTTAATTAGAAACGAGCACTTGAAATGCATTACAAAATAATTAGGGTTTGGAAACATCTGAGTTAATGTGCTTTTTGGTGATCACACTAGAAAACAATTATAGTGATTTGAGTCAGTTACACCAAACAATCAAATGTTGCTGTCTGTCTGAACAAAGCCGAAATATCCTTCCCTGCTGCTGTAGTCAGCATTACAAAGACCTTTTCTGCTTGATGAGATGGAGGACATTGAAAGAGGACATCTTACCATTATTTCTGAATATTCAAGAAGTTGGATAGCATCCATAAAGTGATTATCTGTCCGTCCTTCGAATGCTTAATCTCTGGTGTCACTGTGTCACCATTAACACATTGTGCCTTTACAGTATATATTGTGCCCTCTGGCTTAGAGAACAAAACTGATTCGTTTTTTCATCTAGTGCTGTAAATTTGAACCATTTAAAATATAATGGATTGAAGACATGACTAGAGATGATATTTAAAATGTCAAACAATTAATTTGATCTAGAGAGCTCATCCCAACTTATGATCATGTGAACTGCCGAAATGTTTTTTAATGTCCCACTTTGTGCTTACGTAGCATTCAACATGAATTATAATTTTTGATGTTGACATTTTGTACAAGGCTGTTGGCATCGACCTTGTCTGGCAGTGGGCCACTTTGACACTCATCGTGGCATGACTTGCTCTAACCTTCTTCACTGATCGACTTTCTTGAACCGTTTTTGCCAGCCCATTTCATTTTCAGTGAGTTGAATGGCAAAGGGTCTTCAGTTGACAAAAGCCAACCTCTTGTCATTTCTCCTTGTACCCCTGCAGAACTCGCCTGGAGGAGTTGCGAATGTTTCTTGAAAATGAAACATGGGAGCTGTGCCCTGTGAAGTCCAATTTCAGTATTGCCCAGCTTCACGTAAGTCCTAATGCCACAGATAAGACATTGAAATGTATCAGTGTGATTTTTATTCATGACTGGCAGTCTTTTGGGATTTCACATTTGCATAGGAAGATAAGGTGGAGAGTTTTTGTTCTGTGCGTGCTTCGCAGTGACAATCAACACATGGCTACAAGCCAAAGGCATATGAACATGCTTTCTTATATAACAATCACTGTTTATAGACAAATTCTCATGATTAGTGGGTCAAAAAGTGTTTTTTATGAGAGCCATGCCAGAAATTAGATCAGTCCCCAGTGGGTGGTTTTCTAACCAAATAGAAGGGGTTTTTGTAGATCATCTTCCTTCAGGTTTCCCGTCTTGCCGTAATGGAGGGATTTCATATGCATTTTAAATCTCTGGAAAGGCTTGACAACTTGATAAATGAGGGAAAGCATCATCACTGATTGTATTCCAACATAAGCTGTTTTCTCTTCTAGTCAGGGTGTCATCCGTCTCAAAACAAATTACATCCTGGTAGGCAAGTATATTCACCCGAGAGTTTCCATCGAATAAACCGAAATGCATCTCTTTCAATTATTATATGCTAAACAGGGTCTTTTGCTCGATAAAGTGTTCTCTGATAGAACTTTTACACTGTTTTGTGCAGAATATACAGGTATTTTCTCAAAAAAGTACCACTAGTTTTGTAGTAGAGAAAGTCAGTGAATGGCATAATCAGTGGTGCTCTTTAATGAGACACATTTGCATAACGACTTCTTGCTGGAGCTCTAATGTGCAAAGCGGTTTAACTGTGAGAAGCTTTAGGTCACCTAGCGCTACTGCTCACAGCTTTTGCACTCTCACCCTTGCAGTTTAATAGTTAATTAAAAAAATAAAAATTATTCCAATTTTGCAGAATTAGCTTCTTTTTAAGTACATTTCCAAACCTAAATGCCCCTGTAAAAAGAAGTTTGAAATACCTGATGAATACAGTAACTGTGCTGTGTGCTTTCCACTCAATAATAAAATAGAAATACAACTTTGACAAAACAAAACAAAATTGACAGGGGTGAGAAAATAGCAGTTAAGGAAGCATCTGATCATAATGAGGTGGATATGTTTTGTACCAGCTCTGCAATTCGGCACTTCAGTCAAGTCATGTCACATCACATTTATTTATATAGCACTTTATAGCACATGTAAAAACAGTGTCAGTGTCGCTTTCAGTGTCAATTTCTGCTATACAGCAGCTTACCAGTGTGTTCATGTTTTTACTCGCGTCTAACCTTGACAGGCTAAACAGAAGCAATGAACCAGAGAAGAGCGCACTACCTACAGTATTATAAATCATCAGGGACCAATTGAAGTTGTTTACCAGCCAGAGCGAACTTTTCCGGAAAGTTTGCTTTGGCAAGCCATTTCAAACTCCCTGATTTTGTTCAAATTAATGTCACACCAGTTCATTCTTCAGTTTCGCTTGAAGTATATTGGGGCCTTTAGAGCCTTTTTTTCCCCCTTGGACATTCAACCAGCACAAACAGTTCAGTTAAACCTAGTCCACCTAATCTCCACCTAGCCTACTTTTTTTTAGCTTTTTGATCTGTATGATATGAAATCTGATACATTTGTTTATTTTTCAGGAGTTTAGGTTCATGGGTCAGTGTCGTTCTCCTTCAGTATCTCCCAGCAGGCAGCCGGAATCCACAGAGCCGGTGGAGCTTTGTCTGTTTGAGCAGTACCTGCAGGGTGGAAATCCTTTTGAGATGCAGATAGACAATAAGGAAGAGGAGACGGAGGATGTCCTGGCTTCTAATGGGGTATGTAGTAGTTTACTACATTAATGGCATTCAGAGCAACATATAGGTCCTAGCAATATTTTAAAAAGTCAAATTACAGTAAATGCCAACTGTATGTGGTAAAAAAAAAGTTGTTTGTTGATTTTTTTTTTGTAATTTTTATTTTTTTTACAAAGTATTCATCCAGTTTTTGCGTGAACAAAATTTCAGTGCATCTCTTGTATATGGATAAATTCCAGTAATTTCTAAACCATCTAAATTCTTGATTCCTCTATATTTCAGTATTTTCCTAGAATAATCAGCACAGTTCAACAATATTTATGCTAAACTATTTGGCATCAGGCTTGAGCAAACAAGCATTTTAAAGGGTTTATTTTAAAAAGTCAAATTACAGTAAATGCCAACTGTATGTGGTAAAAAAAAAGTTGTTTGTTGATTTTTTTTTGTAATTTTTATTTTTTTTTACAAAGTATTCATCCAGTTTTTGCGTGAACAAAATTTCAGTGCATCTCTTGTATATGGATAAATTCCAGTAATTTCTAAACCATCTAAATTCTTGATTCCTCTATATTTCAGTATTTTCCTAGAATAATCAGCACAGTTCAACAATATTTATGCTAAACTATTTGGCATCAGGCTTGAGCAAACAAGCATTTTAAAGGGTTTACAGTTACATTTATATTCTTATTAGATGCTTGCCAAACCGTCTGCTGAAAAGGAGAAAATAAATGAGTGAAAATTTGATGCGTGAATATTTTGTAACGTTAAGTGGCTCATTGTCCTGTTGACAGAGGCCATTACTTCTTTGTGGAGAAAATACTCATCATTATTAATGCTCTGATGTGGCTCCTGTAATGAAAACAAACACTCTGTGTTGATGACTGAGAGTGCGAGCCCTTGGTACAAGTGCTTTTACCCTGAGAGAGAACAAAGTGTTTTTGTATTGTAAAGCTCACCGGTTTAAATATTCCATGGTGTTTTGTTAGTAACTAGATACAGTGTGATGCATCCACCAGCTTTACATTCTCTCATTTTCTTTGCTGATTGGAGGGGTTGTTTAAGGTTACGTTTATCTATGTTGAATCTGCAGCACGTTTTTGACACTGGTGCATTAAAGGCCTTTTATTTCAAGGCCAGCTCTGAATCTCAGAGAATTAAGGCTGAATCACTGGGCTATTTTTTATGATTTGCTTTTAGTTTCTCATTTTACACATCAGTTATCTGCTCTTTCTGCTGGTTTGCTGGTCTTAGATGGCTTAAGGTGGTCTCCCAGCCCAGCTAAGCTGATTTTCAGATGGTTTTAGTGGTCTGTTGGAATGCTAGTCAGACTAATGCAAACTAGACCAGCATGAGCAGGCTGGGAAACTATCTAAATCCAGCTTAAATTCTTAATAATTAAACCTTTTTCGGAAAGTGGACACTAAACAGTAAATGTATACTACTTTTCAAAAGTAGTGTTAATTTTTGTTTTAGTCTCTTATGCTCACCAATGCTGTAAAATAGCAGTAAAAATACAGCAATGTTTATAGTTAAATATTACAATTTAAATTCACTTTTTTAAATATATATTAAAATGTAATTTATTTCTGTGATGGCAAAGCTGAATTTTCAGCAGCCACTCCTTCAGAAATCATTTTAATTAGCTGGTTTGCTGCTCAAGGAACATTTCTTCTAATTATCAATGTTTGCAATGCAGATGTGTGGCTTAATATTTTTGAAAACCATGATCATTTGAAAATCATCCTTTTTTTCCAGAATTCTTTGGTGAATATAAAGTTCAAAAGAAAAGCATTTATTTGAAATGGAAATCTTTTGTAATATTATAAAAGGCTTCACTTTAAAATCAATTAATAAATAAAATGAATAAAAGTATTAATTAAAAACCGTTTGAATGGTATTGTTTATGACTTGTTCTGGTTTGCCGTTCTGTTTCTTCTCTCGGCAGTATGAGTCAGATGAGCTGGAGAAGAGCGTATATCAGGACTACGACAGTGACAGTGATGTACCTGAGGAGCTGAAACAAGACTATGTAGATGAACAGACAGGAGACGGTCCAGTGAAGAGGTCAGTACCGAGTCATCATCTAGATGCTCACGTCACACAGTACCACCTCTAGCAAACTTCTTATTTATGGACTCATGTTTCCTCTAAGGCAACAGAAATAGTTTAAATTCACACTGTGTACAGTGAAGACACAAGCTATCATTAGCCTCTTATCAGCAAGAAAGCTTTATTTATTTTATTAAGAATGAGCCTTTTAAGACCACAAGGCTCCCGTTTAGAGCCATTCGGGGCTTTGATGTTAAACAAACAGTCTCAAGGAGATTGTTAAAAAGGCTCCTTTTGGAATTACATCATGTGGCTGTATTGCCAACTATATGAGTGTGCAAACTGGCATTTTTTTTTTCTATATTTCATAATTGCTCTTGGCTTGGTCTCCATGTCTTAGTGTGATAGAAATATCATAAATCAAGGGAATGATTAGGAATGTGATTAGGCAGTGAACCCTGATGAATATTTAATACCTGTTTGTTCCTCACGAAGATGACTGACAGTTCTCCCTGCAGTAAATCAGCTGGCACATTCCATGTTGTGACACTTCATTGTTAGAGACTGCCGCATTTTGAGGGCTCTAATGTTTTGCATATTTAAATTGACATAAATTTTCTTAAATGCAATATTGTGACTCTTGTTCACATTCTGTGACTTCAGTGCTTGTTTAGAACACATCTGGAAAATTCTGGGCTCAAGCCATGTTCAATACAGCAGTTGTGTTGATGATGTTAATTACCACAGAAGTCATTTCGACTTGCTCTTCATTTTCTTTGAAAAAGCAAAAATGGAGGTTATAGTGAGGCACTTGTCATTTTTAAAACTTGTTTACTTGTTTCCATCATAACTTTTTGGGTTTATGGGAGTGCATTTTTATGGCTACAAAGTAACAAAATTGGATAAAACTTTACACAGAAATGGTCAGCAAATAAATTTGTTCACGTTAAAGTCATGTTAACGCACATACTGAACACATGATCTATGGTAAAGATCATGCATCTGTTCTGCAAAACCCAGAACACTCACTTCAGTTAAATCCGAACCCAGGTTAATGAAGGAAGTGTGTGAATGAGACTCTTCAGTTTTAAAGGTCATTGAACTATAATGCTCCTAACAATCCTGGATCTGCGTGTCCCTGCTCTGTCCTCCTTTAATTAGCGTGTCCAGGGAGACACTTCGCAGCCGGAAGAGGTCCGACTACAATGCCCCCATCCTTACCAACACCACCCTCAACGTGATTCGCCTGGTTGGTGAGTAATTGACCTTTGAGCTTGTACCTGTGCAAGACTGATATGGTGCATGATAAAGTTGGCCCTAGGCAGAAGACCACAGTTTGCCCTCTAATTAAGAGCCTAATAGCTCAATTACTATGAAAGAGGTGCGTTCTTAGAGCCAGCTGTGTTCTGTTTCAGCTTCCGGTCATTAGCTCTGTTCTGAGCATGTGCCTGCTCATCTCTTCAGGTTCATTTGAATGCACGTTTGACGTGTTGAATGAGATAAAGGCTATGACGCCATTCATCTTTAAATGTTCAGTTAAAGTTAAACAAAATCTATTTGCAAAAAGATGCTGTCATGAACCCATGGGTGTGAATTTTTCTCTGGTGTTTCGATGAAAGCGCTGATGTTGTGAAATGAACAATAGATTTAGGCGGTTCAAAATGTTTTGCTGAAATCAGCTGGAATAGTTTTTACATCCAGATGTTAAAATTGATTAAACACCATCTGGTAACTTCATCAGTTTTTTTTATCAATTTTGATTGACTGGTGAGAATCTTGTTTCTCAAAATATTGAGCCTTTTAAATTATTTTAAGGTGAGAGGAGAGAAAATGCTCCCTTAAAAGGATAGCTAGGAAAATTCTGTCATTGTTTACTCACCCCCATGTCGTTTAAATCCTGTATGACTTAATTTCTTCTTCAGACCACAAAGAAAGATATTTTGAAAAACAGTTTTGTCCACATAATGAAAGTCAGTGGGGTCCAAAACAACATTGGATGCCATTTAAAAAAAAAATTTTCCCCAAAATATTTCTTTTAAATACGACACAAGGGCTTTTGAATGGGACATTTGCCAAAGTATTGCATTTCAGTTCTGTACATCAACATGATTTGCATTCATATTTCCCTAAATCTGTGGTTTTATATTCTGTATGTGAACCTTATTTGTTTGCCTTTCATATATATATATATTTCACTTTTTTTTCTGATTGATTTTGCTTTTATAGGAAAATATATGCAGATGATGAACATTCTGAAGCCCATCGCCTTTGATGTCATCCACTGTGTCTCTCAACTCTTTGATTATTACCTGTATGCCGTCTACACCTTCTTTGGCCGCAATGACATGGTATGCATTTCAAAGCATTTTTGTTCTCCTCCATGTTCAGTGTTAATACTTAAGATTATGCAATATTTATTATTTACAAACAATTGGATCCTTGCTGTGCTGTGTTGTATATTTTGTCTGGATGTTACATGTTCATTAAGAAAAGCCTGCGAAGTACACTCATTGTTTTTCCCTCTAGTGTCTGCAAGCCTTATGGGCACTGTTCTATAATTACTTCCATTATAATTTGAGCAAGTGTTTAGGTGTAGAGTTTGCCTCAGGAGGCTGAACATCAAAGAAAGATATAAATGTCTGCATGAATTCTCGGTTGCTAATTTTCACCATTCCTAAAAATCAGGTTTGTAGTAGAAATGTAACTCTACTGTAACTTGACATCTAACTTGCATGCACAAACGGATAGATGTGCTTCAATGATCCTTGAGAGTTTGAGATACAGTATTATTGAGAGATTTGGATAAAGAAAATTGTGCCTGCAGAAGATCATGTCTAGAATTGTTGAGTGATTTCAATGCAGACCTCTGCACAGGCTTGTGCCCTGATGCTACAGTTCTCGAGGCTTTAATAAGCACAACTTTAGGCTAGATTAATCTGTTTTCAGAGCTGGGCCTTCCTAAATAAAATTAGGCAGCAGCTCAATTATCCTCATAATTTTCACTCTTTGAGACTCAATAAGCTGTATCTGAAGAGTCTTCAGTGCCTTCGCCAAAACAGCAATATCCCACAATATAACGCACTTTAGCAGCTCCATTGAAAGCAGCTTGATTCTTGCTTCCTGGAGCTCTGGTTATTTTCTGTGCAATGTCCCAAATGACCTTACAACTTAAGCCACCTCATCTGCCCAGACGTTACTGGAATAATAAAGCATACATGGAGTTGCCTTGTTTGCTTTGATTTCCCAGAAGTCTGACTCAAGCCATTGCAGGTAAACTGGAAAAGACACCCACTAGTTGCAATTCAGCCGTTTCAGCTCCCTAAGACTCTGGTACCTTCCTTTTCTTCCATATAGTAAAAGTCTTCAAGACCCTGAATTTGTGACATGATTTCAACCATTTGACCTCTAAATGAGTCTTTGCATTTAAGCTTTGAGCCTGTCAGCTATCCTAACATGGGACTCCCGTTTTTCAAACCTTTGTGAAGTAAAGCCACTTTTCAGTGAGATTATCTGCTGCTCAAACGGGTCCATGACTCTTCCTCTGCAGACAATGTGACTTTCTGCAAACTTTCCTTCCCAAGAAGTTTGAGATTTACAGGACTGCCTTGTCTACTTCATAAAGTCATTGTCCTTTTGAACACTATTGCATTTGAACAGTCAATAACAAATACTTAAACTAGTAACAAAACATAAGTACAGTCGCTGATTCAGAAGCACCAGATTGTCATAGCAAAGTCGGAATTGACCATTTAAAAATTTTTTTTTTATATATATATAGAAATAGCCTTTGTGCACAGCCAGCTTTGTACTCTTCTAGGTTAAAAAAAACTGTCGTCCATAAAATGCGTTGCACAAATTCGAACATCTGGGTTGTGCTGTTCTGTTGTAAATACATCTTAATCAATGATTCCTAATTGCATCTACTTCCGGAAGGCCAAATAAAGTGCTATTGCTTTCGCACTGAATCACACAGCGTCTCCTTGACATGGCTGCATCAACACGACTGCTGTTCCTGAAACCACGCCTTCTTTCTTTGCGTGCACATTTGGGCGGCATTATGCTAATATTTCCACATAGTGACCTAGATATGTGGGGGCGTGTTAGAACAAGCCGTTTTAGGTAGGTGTGGCTGACTCTTAACTTTTATAAAGAATATCTCTTTGGATTTGAGTCTTTGCAACTTTAGTCTTTGCAACAAAATCTGCTTTATGCACCAAGAGCTTGTAACACTCCAAAGAGAAAGGAAAACTTGAAATCGCATCATATGACCCTTTTAATATCCTAACATTCTTATGAGAACTATACAACAAGACTAACCCTATCAATAATACCAGCCTGTCAGTCTAGGCTTTGATTGGCATGACCAATGACATGCTGTTTTCTAAATGGAGTCTATGGGTTTTATCAACTGTAAAAAAGTGTTTCTGTCTTTGGATTTGACAGTAGTCTTTAATCTTACCACACAAGCCAGGTGGGGTTGAAACATTTGTCTTACGAAACAAAAATATATCCGTTGTGCATTGAATTCTGGTCCCAGTGATGCTTTTATGGCCAAAGTCTCAGCAGCCTACAGCAGTTCTACTTTCCATGATTTTATTTTCATAGTATCACAAAAATGTGCCATTTGCACTCTGTATTCTTTGCAAATAATTGTTTGTTTGCTGTGTTGAGCCAGTGCTAAATCAAAAGTAAATGCTTTCATGCTGGTGGATTGAGGCCAGTGCACTTGCAGAGCAGGAGTAAAGTCTTTGCACTCTATTTGGCCTTCGCGTGTGGTTTAGCATCATTATAAGTCATAATTTCACTCCCTAGGAAGAATATTCCTGGGCAGACATGGGCCACATACAAGGGCATTTTAAAAACTGTAGGAAATGAGGAGCCCTGAGGAGAATTGGGCTTCTAGACGTATTAATCAGGACGGTTTCAAGATCTGGATTTTTTTTTTACTTGCTTTCTGAAGACCTGGCTTTTAATTCCACATATTTTTGGACATTTATATTTGAACAAGGCTTTGCTGATGTTCAAGTTTTCACTTTTGGCTTTTTATGCCACTGCTGTTCATGTGAACTAATGTGAACCAGTGAGAGATAATTCAGTCTTCTCCAGCTTGCCAAGGCAACTCTTTTCCCCCCGCATGTCCTCTGAGTGACAGTGTAGTGTATTATCTTTGATATTTAAGTGCTGACCAGAGAAATTTTCACTTTAGCTTTGTCCTGACCAAATCTAGCAGCAAATCTGAGGGAGACTGGATACAGCCTCCACAAGATCAGCTGTCAGATGTCAGCGAGGTTGAGCACTTTGCCTTTAACCCACCCCACAGGTTTGAAGGCGCATTAAATAAAACAACATCTCATCTTTCTCCATTGCTCTCATTCTGGTTTTTGCACATTCACCTCTTCTGCTGAGCGGATGGCAAGAGAAAAAGCTTGAGAAGGTTTTCTGTCACTAATGGAAACTTTTCAAAGTCTTAAATGAGTAAGAGTAGCTGTCAGTATCAGAGGCAGCCGGTCTCAAAGAAAAGCCTATGGAGACAAAAAAGTAAATATTACTTATAAAAAAAATATTTACAAAGCGGCTGAAATTGATATGCTCATTTGGATTCGCTTTCACCCATGACTAACTCCAAACACACAAGACATTCAATCTCGTAAGGAGATGGAGATTATGTATTGCACCATTTCATTTAGTAATGAACAACATTAGGATCTGAAAGGTCTGTATGCCATTGTATATAGCCAGAGTATTAACTCTGCCATGCACATAATTTAAGATGCATTGGTCTTGGCATTCATTGCTCTTTGCCTCAAGTTAATAACTTAGCTTAAAGGCAATGAATGGAAAGAACGAGGAACAATATGCAAGTGGCTTATCTGAAAATGGATCACCTCCAGAATGATGAAGCACTTGAGTGTAGGGAAAGGCCTGAGTAGTGCTTATTAAATGTTGCAGATAGAGTTAGTAATGGACAGGAAGATGCTGTCACGCTAACAGATGGGTCCTTTGGAAACTTTGCAAAAATGTTAAATTCAGAGAAAGACTGCAGTTTTATTGTCCCCCTGGCAGCAAATCAAAGTGTTAAATTGCACAATATTGTGCTTGGCAGTTGACACTGCTTGCTGTACTATTCGCTTGCACTAATGCGGTGGAAATCAGTTTTCTTTAACGATTGAATGTGACATTTTTTAAAATTATTAATTGTGCTTAAATAATGCTTTACAGTAAAAAATTCCCAGTAATTATATTCGAAAAAGCAGGCTTATTACTTGCTTTGTGTTGATTTTCCTTTTTGTTTCTCAATGCAAAGCACTTCCAATCTGCATCTCTGCCTTCACAAGGCTCTCAACCTGGTGTGTCCAGACAGGCGGTCCCTGTCTATTGGGTAAGACTGCTGTGTGGAGCCTGCTGGCAGTAGAAATGCCTGCCACTGTGTGCTGTGTTTTCAACCCTTTACTCATATTTTATGTATGTATGTATGTACATATGTGTGTGTGTGTATATGCATATATATATATATATATACACACACACACACACACACACTGGTGTGAAAAAGTGTTATGATGTAGATTAGTTTCCATGCTACTTTGTTTGTGAGATTTGAGTTTACAGAGCTTTTGTCTGCCCAGCTTGAAAAGAAAATCTACAGTATGATGTAAATTATTATATTTGATATATAAAAAAAAATTTGTAATTACTTTATATTATGTATATTTTTATTATAAATATATATTTCATTAATTATATTATATTGCTAACAGACAGTCTGTTAAATCTAATAGGAGGTTTCTGTAAATGTTTTTGTGGTGCTTGCAAATGCACGTGAGACATTTATAATTAGTTGTAGTCACCTCAGTGTGCTCAAAAAAAGAATAATTTAAGTATTTATTGATTCTACATCTTGAACTGAATTAAACAAAGTTGTTTGAAAGGGATTTAAGGATTATACTTTTAATGCATAAATCTGTTATGAAGTCATGTACAGTTCTTAAAAGTAATTTTTTTTTTTACTGCAGTCTAATTTAGAGATGTACTGCTCTGCTCCCATAGTAAAATTTTTCTTATGTTTGCCTTGCTCTCGCTGATGTCAGAGCTGTTGCATATTAATAACACGTTGGCTTGCTTGCATACGTTTCTGCATTTGTGAATATATTTCCAGTGAACATTCCCAGGAGGATTTGCCAGTCCCATTCATCCTCCCCCTTTAATATAAAACTAAATTGCAATTAATGAGCATAAGTCATGAACTACACTTGTGGGAGCTGTGTGTATGAAGTGCAGTTTCCTGGAGATGATCGGTGGTGTGTGCATGCTGGAGCTTTAGAGATTGCACTTTGTGAGTGTGTATTCCAGTATGATTGAAAAGCAACAGAGCCTCTTTCTCACGGGGTGTGTTTTGCTGTCTCCTATAGTATGAATCATCTGGGCTGGGTTTGATCAGCAGCAGACTGAGGACTACGCTCAGCCGCATACAGGAGAGCCTAATAGACATGGTGAGTAAAAACAAGGCATTTTTTTCAGGTTTTTTTCCTAGCTCCTTTTTTTCTGTCTCACTCCTATGGTTCATCTCCTCCCTTGGCCTCTCTTATGTAACCATTATGAATCCGAGTGGAAATAGTAGTGTGCATTTGTTATTCTTATATTGTTATAGTTCCCTATAGCCTCTCATCAGGCCTATTATCTCTTACCCCCTCTTACTTTCAGCTATAGCAGCCACAGGTGAGTTAATCACCATCAGTACACTTAGATAGCCCTGCACTCTTGTGATAAATGTCCTTTGGTTTCCATAGTTGCACCCATTAAGGCTCTCTGGGCCAGTGGCCTGATACCCACAATGCACTATATACCTCTTTCTGCTGCACAAATAAGCAGTCATTATATAGGATCCATTCCCCCAGATGTCTGACTGTCGAAGAGCAAGAAAAGATACCAGTCTGCATAAAATAATTAAACATTATTGTTTTTATCCTGTCGGACTTGCAAGTTATGGTGCTCAGTGGAATCTGGGAGTATCTAACCTACCTAGACAGCGTTTTAGTCATCGTTGGAATTGCAGCTTGAAATTGCAAATGATTAAGCTGTCTGATTTCATTTCGGCTGCTTTTTGAGACAGCTACAGTATATAGGTGTCTTTTGTGGATAAGGCAATCCCACATCTATTTTATGATTAGCTCAGCAAGAAATTTCCATTCAGTATAGCAAACAGAGCCGAGAGAAATTGTTTTTTTTTTCTCTCTTTTTTTAAGAGTCGGTTGTAGACATGGCAGGTCAGGCAGTGACAGCTGTGTCCTGCAGTTTGACATGTTATATTGTGCATGACATGCTATTCTTGATATTATTTTGTGCATCATTTTTTGTCAAGTTCTTGTATAATTATGTACTGTATTAGTGTTAATTTCGTTAACGAAGACAATGACGAAAAATGTTAATTGACAAGCTTTTTTCCTATGACTAAGACAAGACGACAATAAGGTCAATAAACGATAACTAAGACTATATCAACATGCAATTTCGTTGACGAAGTAAGACGAGACTAAAATGTATTCAAAAAAAGATAAAAACTTTACCAAAAACCTCTTTTTATTTTCGGCAAAAAAAGGAAACAAAATGTTATTGCGGACTGCTCTACACGTCTCTACTACGCGAGATTTCATGCGTGCGGTTGCCAGATATCAAGAGTTCTAATCCCTGATTCAGAGCTTCGCTGTTACATTCATACATTTTCTACCCGGTGTTTTGCTTATTATAAGCAATCTGGCAACCATGCGCACACGCTCGCTCCTCATTGCGGATGCGCCGCCGCCAATGATCTGAATACACAAACAAGCTGGAGTTTAGCGATCAAAATGAAAGCCTCACTCAGCCGGTCTGTGTTCTGTCATGAGATCTCGATTCTATTGTTTGCGATTGTGATCGCTGAATAAATGCACTTACTCAACCGCTGTTGTTTTAATAGAGAAATAGGCTATTGCCATTTGGAATTACTAGGAAATTCACTGTTATAATATTTTTCGTTTGTTTTAGCTGTTTTCATAATGTAGACAGAGAGATTGCTATAATAAAATCAGTACACTAGATGAGATAAAATACACCATGTATGTGTCCACATTATATTGATTTGTGCTTACTGGTGAAAGTGCAATACCTGAAATGCAAAAGTAAATTTCTCAAATGACAACAATCATTATGATTATAATTTTGAGAAAAAAAATATTTTTTAGCAGTTTAACCATTATACAGAATGATGAAAATGACTAAAACTTGACTAAACAAAAACAGGACAAGGTTGTCTTAATATGATAACTAAAATGTACATTTGAGTAAGACTAAATTAAAAAGGGCTGCCAAAATGAATATTGTACGGTTAATTAATAATAATCTTATTGCTAAAATGTCAAGTTTTCATTGACTAAAACTAGACTAAAATACTTCAGGTTTTCTTGGACTAAAATTAGACTAAAATGTTGAGACTTTTAGTCGACTAAAACTTGACTAAAAATAAATAGGATAAGGTTGAATAAATATGATAAAAACTAACAAGGACATTGTAAGGGAAACAGGTCAATTTAGCTCAAAGGGAATCATTTAAGATTTTAAAGGGAATTTGGACAGAATCACTGTTTTACGGCTGATCACTGAGACGGCCACCGATTCATTGAACGAGCCGTATGACATCAATTCTGCAATGGATATTTATATCCAAAATATAGTGAAAACACTAAATAGTACAGTAACAAGATTGGCAGTTTAAGACATTAACTTGTGAGCACAAAACACTACATGGAAAGGTAGTTTCTGTAGCATTCTGTGGACGTAAGGATACGTTCTGTGAAGACCAGAGAGGTTAAAATGTCTGTAAAGAATCTCAGTCTGTTCTCTGTCTCAGAGGTGGGGGAAGCCAATCCAAAGAGCTTGTGATTGCTATCACTGGTTACCATGTGATGGTCACACCGTGCATCACTTTTGACCATTAATCTTAATTACTTGCCCCAAAATTGACAATCTCCTTGGAATTGTCAACAAGTGTTCTTTTGTTTAAATGCTGTGAGCTACTCAAACCTGCTGGTTGGTTCAGGCTTGTGGCACCAGGATCTGATTTACGACATCCTGTGTCTTGGGCTTCTGTGGAATTCGGCTCCTCGTGTTTCAACTGTTCTTTATCAAATCTTACATTGTCTGATTCGGTCTGATACCCTACAACATTTTAACACGGGACTAAGACTAAAATGAAAATATCTGATGAAATTAACACTAGTATTATGTACTTTGTAATTTTGTACTATATGGTATTTTTGTACCTTTATAGATTATATGAAGATAAATAAATATACGATGTGTGTTTATTAATCCATAATTATATAGATATTTTATATAGCTAGAATTTTTCATGTTTTTATCAGGCAAGGATTAGAAATTATGCATTAGAATACATTTGTTACAAAAGATTTTGAATTCTGAAATGTATAACAGTTTCCTCAAAAATATTAAGCACAAACATTGTGCACAACTGTTTTTAGTATTGATGATAAGAAATACTACTTGAGCACCAAATCAGGATGTTAGAATCATTTCTGAAGGGTCATAAACACTGACAAGGACACTGAAAACTGAAGCTGCTGAAAATTTAGCTTTGCCTTCACAGGAATAAATTACATTTTAAAATATACTTTAAAATAGAAAACACGCATTTTAAATTGTAATAATATTGCACAATATTACTGTTTTTACTGTTTTTTTTTTTAATCAAAATGCAGCCTTGTTGAGCTCAAGAGACTTATTTTATAAACATTAAAATATTATATCGACCTCAAGCTTTTAAAAAGTAGTTTGTAAGTATTGTATATAATTTATTTTAAATATTTCTTTATATGTATATTTAAAGGAACACGCCACTATCTTTGAAAATAGGCTCATTTTCCAACTCCCCTAGAGTTAAGCAGTTGTTTTACCGTTTTCTAATCCATTCAGCCGCTCTCCGGGTCTGGTGGTAGCACTTTTAGCTGCAGCTTAGCATAGATCATTGAATCTGATTAGACTGTTAGCTTCTCGCTCAAAAATTACCAAAGAGTTTAGATATTTTTCCTATTACCTAGCTGGGGACTATTTTCAGGCGCTACGTAATATCATTGCGTCTGCTGCACCCATGGTACGGCAGCAAAGTTCCTTGATTATTACACTTGAATGGGAGTATAGTTCCTGGCCATATCGGCCTAGAAAATCGCAACTTTTCATTTTCCGTTGGTCTTGGTACACGATGTAACTACATAAAGAGTCAAGTTTTAAATAGGAAAAATATCTAAACTCTTTGGTCATTTTTGAGCGAGATGCTAATGGTCTAATCAGATTCAATGATCTGTGCTAAGCTACAGCTAAAAGTGCTGCCGCCAGACCTGGAGATCGGCAGAATGGATTCGAAAACGGTAAAACACAACTGTTTAACTCTAGGGGAGTTGGAAAATGAGCCTATTTTCAAAAATAGTGGCGTGTTCCTTTAATATTTGCAAAGTGTGGATACAAGGTCATTATAATGCATTGCACATGAAATCTATGTATTTTGTCGGCTTGTGCTCATTATTAACATATTAGTTTTGCTAGCTACATGTCAGCTAGCTACAATCATCTGTGAGCATTTAATGGCTCTCTTGTGCAGAACAGTGGCTTTTAACAAGGTTGCTGATCAGCTAATGAGGTGTCAGGAAATAGACAGCAAGTTAGGTCTCTAAAAACAGTTACGTTGCCATCTGTTTATGCCGTGTGCATGATAGGCTTTTCTTTGCCCATCAACTGTTTCACAAGAAATTAATTAAAAGACTATAGATTAGTGTGCCACTGACAAAGACATGTACGCCCCCATTATTTATTGGGTCATCAGTGGCGAGTGGCCCTCCTAAGTTTCTGCCATGTTCCCTTGGGCTGTCAGGAGATGTCCGAGATCAGCTCCCAGACTTTTGGCACCTCTTGCATCATATATCAAGTGACCACATCACTTATTCCAAAGGGCCTGGAAGGGCCTCAGGTATCTGAGAATTGTTGGCCTGCAGAGTCTTGAGAGCAATTGTTTTTTGGCTGGAGGTACAGGCAGGTTTTTAAGATTATACTAGCTTTACGATGATGATCTATTATGGCTGCACACTTCATATTTCCAAAGCACTGCTTTAAATTTTCTGAATATGAGTCTTTTATGTTCACTAAGTCTGCATTCGTTTGATCAAAAATCCAGTAAAATCAGTTTGTGCTTGTGACATATTATTACAATTTAAAAGAACAGTTTTGTATTTTAATATATTCTATATTGTATAATTTAATTTATTCCTGTGATGCAAAGCTGAAATTTTAGCAGCCACTCCATATACATTGTGTCCATACCAGATGCCACAAGTTTTCAAAAGCATTCAATTTTTTTCTCTCCAGACTGAATGCAAAACTGCTGTTTGACACAATCACAGCCAATCAGAACATATCTGAACATTTATACCTTAATCTAAAGGGTGCC